GAATTTAAGTTTAAAATGGTTTAAATTTATTTAAGAAAAGATTTAGTGTTTTAATGATATTAGTGAGCTTATGATTGCTGTTATGTTTTAGGTGATGAAGCTGGGACAACTGATGATTTTATGATTACTAACAGTTTATTGTCATGCTACTAATTTTTATTTTGATTTTCAATAAATATTTTCCAAACATGTTTTATATAATACTGCAGAATTTTAGGAAAACGATCTGAGATCTTTTTATCAATCGTTATTGTATATTAATATTTTTGTTTAGCGCCTGAAATGATTATGAAGATTGACTTCAAGATTTTATGTTTGCAAATGAAAATCTAAATTCATTGCTAATAAGATTCTAAATATAAAAGTTTGTGTTGGCTTTTGCCGTACAACCATAAAACTAAATGGTAAGTTTCTACGTAGTCGTATATCGTTTTTTGTCCGTGGTCTTCTTCCAATACCGTGTAGTTCTAGTATTGTTCGGAATATTGGCTCTGATCTATTGAGTCGTAGAGACATTTCAATTAATAAATTATCGTGTAACATTTTGAAAAAGTTTTGTCTAATTTCTAATCTATATTTGGTTAATTCTAAGCTATTAAGGTCTTATTCGAGACTTATGGTCGCACCAGATAAGTTAGGACCGATGTGGTTAACTCATAGAGTAATTTCGGATAAGGTACACCGTCTGCTCGTCACGCTATCTTATTTTCGGCCGGATAGATTCGTGCAACTTCTTAGTCTAATACCGATCCTAATCTTACTCTTATACTATTCTAGTCTCAAGTTGTTTAACTAGTCTCTGCTAGGCTCAATAGATCTAGGGTATACTGGTTTATTGCGGCTGCTGAAGTTCTCTTGGAGAGGCAACTAATTTCTAAGTTAAATTCAAATCTCTCTGGTGCTGAAATTACAAGTAATTTCAGCACTTACAAATAAGTGGGTTGTTAGTTAGATGGATCATGATTGGTTAATATTAAATACTTTACAGTGGTAAAATATCTAATTTATCCAATCATAAAATGTAGTTTAGATCAGGTTCCACAAGGGAAAAAAAAGGAAAAGAAGACATCAACACCTGGACAGACTCCCGTTGATCAAAAAAATGTTTCCAAGCAAAATAATTTCCCCGGAAAACTATGGAGCCACCTGTTCAAGCTCACCCAAAAAAAAAGTTTTTTTTACCTATTAAGCGTCGCAGTATGGGACCAATAAACTTGCAATTCATGAGCAAAATTTTTTTCAAGCCCAATCAAGGAAAAAAATGACAACTACTTTACACAAAATAGGCAAATTTGCCAATTTGTTATATGTTTTCTAATTACGGCAGACTGCGTTTTCGTTATTTGATAAAAAAAAAGTTGTAAGCTTTTAGTCATAGTTAGAGTAAGCTTAAAAACTTAACTTTAGTTTGTGTGTTACTATCGAAAACAGTTTCTGTTTTTTTTTCAGTTTTTCAGCTTTTGAAACTTTTTTAGCTTCAGCAGTCCGCTATTTTTGGAGCTCTGTCAAAACTGCAGGGAGACCCCTTGCATGTCAATGAAAATAATTGTTGCAAACTCTTGACACTAGATGTTCGCGACTTTGTTGTTGAGACCGCAAACTCATCGAGATCTTGTTGTCGCGTTGTTTTGGACTCTTCATCAAGATCTAGATGATGATGAAGACCCTATCCTGTCTCTAATAAATGGTAAAAACTGTTATTTGTTTAAAAACCATCAAACATGGCAGCCAGATTCAGCACTTCTGTAATGGCAGTGAATTCTGTTTACTTTCATTTGGTCAGAAAATTCTCGAATATTCTGAATATGGTCACGGAGGTCTGCAAATAACCATCATACGATTGCGACAATCTAAAAAAAACCACAAGTGTGGTCGCTATAGTCTGGACTTAAATCCTTTGCCCGGAATTTGAAGTAAGTCAGTTTTTCAACAGCTTTTACATGGTTCAAATCAAATGACCAGATTTTTAGTTTAAGAAAATACGAGTGCATCCAAATGTTTATCCATAAGTGAACGAAATCTAACGGGAAATTTACTCCAAAACAAAAAAAAATCGTTTAGTCTCGCTTCAATTCTTATATTTCTGGTAGTGATTTTGTCTTACTAAGTCTACGATTTATCCTGGGTCTGGTAAGAGGAGGGTTCAAGTGAAGTTTATCCTGTTTATCCTAATTTGAATGATTAGTTTTGTTCAAAAGTTTCTAATAGTCTTGGGTTTTTTGAAAGGGTTGGATAGTGAATCGACGTTTGAGGTCGTTAGACACTAGCTAAGTGGGTGGGGGAGAACAAAATTGTTCTTTTTGATCCAAGGATAGGCCTTGATGATCAAGTTCAAATTTAATTAAATAGAAAATGAATTAAGATCCAAGGATAAGCCTTGATGATCTGATTTTAAAATTAAGTGAATTTAAGTTTAAAATGGTTTAAATTTATTTAAGAAAAGATTTAGTGTTTTAATGATATTAGTGAGCTTATGATTGCTGTTATGTTTTAGGTGATGAAGCTGGGACAACTGATGATTTTATGATTACTAACAGTTTATTGTCATGCTACTAATTTTTATTTTGATTTTCAATAAATATTTTCCAAACATGTTTTATATAATACTGCAGAATTTTAGGAAAACGATCTGAGATCTTTTTATCAATCGTTATTGTATATTAATATTTTTGTTTAGCGCCTGAAATGATTATGAAGATTGACTTCAAGATTTTATGTTTGCAAATGAAAATCTAAATTCATTGCTAATAAGATTCTAAATATAAAAGTTTGTGTTGGCTTTTGCCGTACAACCATAAAACTAAATGGTAAGTTTCTACGTAGTCGTATATCGTCTTTTGTCCGTGGTCTTCTTCCAATACCGTGTAGTTCTAGTATTGTTCGGAATATTGGCTCTGATCTATTGAGTCGTAGAGACATTTCAATTAATAAATTATCGTGTAACATTTTGAAAAAGTTTTGTCTAATTTCTAATCTATATTTGGTTAATTCTAAGCTATTAAGGTCTTATTCGAGACTTATGGTCGCACCAGATAAGTTAGGACCGATGTGGTTAACTCATAGAGTAATTTCGGATAGGGTACATCGTCTGCTCGTCGCGCTATCTTATTTTCGGCCGGATAGATTCGTGCAACTTCTTAGTCTAATACCGATCCTAATCTTACTCTTATACTATTCTAGTCTCAAGTTGTTTAACTAGTCTCTGCTAGGCTCAATAGATCTAGGGTATACTGGTTTATTGCGGCTGCTGAAGTTCTCTTGGAGAGGCAACTAATTTCTAAGTTAAATTCAAATCTCTCTGGTGCTGAAATTACAAGTAATTTCAGCACTTACAAATAAGTGGGTTGTTAGTTAGATGGATCATGATTGGTTAATATTAAATACTTTACAGTGGTAAAATATCTAATTTATCCAATCATAAAATGTAGTTTAGATCAGGTTCCACAAGGGAAAAAAAGGAAAAGAAGACATCAACACCTGGACAGACTCCCGTTGATCAAAAAAATGTTTCCAAGCAAAATAATTTCCCCGGAAAACTATGGAGCCACCTGTTCAAGCTCACCCAAAAAAAAGTTTTTTTTAACCTATTAAGCGTCGCAGTATGGGACCAATAAACTTGCAATTCATGAGCAAATTTTTTTTCAAGCCCAATCAAGGAAAAAAATGACAACTACTTTACACAAAATAGGCAAATTTGCCAATTTGTTATATGTTTTCTAATTACGGCAGACTGCGTTTTCGTTATTTGATAAAAAAAAGTTGTAAGCTTTTAGTCATAGTTAGAGTAAGCTTAAAAACTTAACTTTAGTTTGTGTGTTACTATCGAAAACAGTTTCTGTTTTTTTTTTCAGTTTTTCAGCTTTTGAAACTTTTTTAGCTTCAGCAGTCCGCTATTTTTGGAGCTCTGTCAAAACTGCAGGGAGACCCCTTGCATGTCAATGAAAATAATTGTTGCAAACTCTTGACACTAGATGTTCGCGACTTTGTTGTTGAGACCGCAAACTCATCGAGATCTTGTTGTCGCGTTGTTTTGGACTCTTCATCAAGATCTAGATGATGATGAAGACCCTATCCTGTCTCTAATAAATGGTAAAAACTGTTATTTGTTTAAAAACCATCAAACATGGCAGCCAGATTCAGCACTTCTGTAATGGCAGTGAATTCTGTTTACTTTCATTTGGTCAGAAAATTCTCGAAAATTCTGAATATGGTCACGGAGGTCTGCAAATAACCATCATACGATTGCGACAATCTAAAAAAACCACAAGTGTGGTCGCTATAGTCTGGACTTAAATCCTTTGCCCGGAATTTGAAGTACGTCAGTTTTTCAACAGCTTTTACATGGTTCAAATCAAATGACCAGATTTTTAGTTTAAGAAAATACGAGTGCATCCAAATGTTTATCCATAAGTGAACGAAATCTAACGGGAAATTTACTCCAAAACAAAAAAAAATCGTTTAGTCTCGCTTCAATTCTTATATTTTTGGTAGTGATTTTGCTTCTTCGATTGATTGGGGAAATTTTGGTTCCTTAAGACTTATTACTTCCTTAAGAGATTCACAGACCACCTTTTGGAGTTCATTCGAGCGAGTTACTTTTTTTTTCAAATAATCAGCCAAACAGAAAATCAAAAGATGCTAGCACATTGTTCATGATTAGGTAAAGGTAAGTAAACGCTTCTTGTAAGAAAAAAAATCATTTTTCGAAGTCTTTACACGCTTGATCGAAGGAACGGCAATGCTGGATTTGAGCAATCGTTTCGTCTTTCGATGAAATATTTAATTAATCGGTCCCTAATTTTATAAAAACATATAACAGTTATTTTTGCAAAAATCGCAAATATTTCACAAACATTTTTAACTAAATCTTTTCCTAGCTGCATTTTATATATACTCGCATAGTTTATGGTAAATATACAAAAGATTCCGGCATGTTGCATCAATAGTTTTTCACGCCGACTTTGTTTTTGCAAACAGATGGTTCCATCAGTTTATAATGTATGCTTTTGTCTAATGGATATCGCTTCAAACCAAACTCCACGCGCTCAATTTGTACCATAATATTCAACATATTATTCAAACAAATCTTCAGCACATTTGGTAAGGTTGAAGTTCACGTGATTTCAACGTTGCGTTGCAAACAAAAGATTCAAAGTACCGAAACATACCAGCGAAAAGCTTATCATAATTCGACAGCCGCATAGAAGCGTTAAACTTTATGACCAAATTTTCGTGATTTTCTCTACTTTTCAAAATATCCGTAGGCTAATTTGGTTGCTTTCGAACAATATCACAGAATTTGTATACAAACAGCATAAACGTGCATTTTGCCCGCGGCTAATTTAGCGTTGATTTTATAATACCAGATCACCATTTAGTCATACTATTTTGAGGAGCTGTTTGATTTAAGTTTTCTTTCCAGTTTCGCTCGTTTTATTAGCTGACGACAGTAATCACAACTTAAGGACAACATCGAACAGATTAATTTCGAGGTAAGAATCTCTATTTTGGAATGTTCAACCGGGAAATTATATGGCCCAAATTTGATGTTTTTGGTCTTCAAAAATTGTCTCTAGATGCTTAAAATGATCAGTTGATCGAAAATTCGATACGCATTCTGAATCAAAATGTTTATATTTTTGAAACTGATTTTTTTTAGATGAGGGGATTAGTTAAGATATAGATAGGAAGAGGTCTTAAGATTGCATACAAGGGCAGATTTAGGGGGTCGGAAGGGGGCGATTTGACATTTCCCCCAGGAGGGAGTTCGACCTCCTAGCCACCTAAAGTTTTACCATTTTCCTTTTTTTCGTTTATTTTTTACGACACTCGTTTAATACGGTCCAAAATTTTCCTCGAATTAGGGTATTTTTAGTGTTTAGCGAGAGCTTAAAAATCCATTTTGATCGGCATTACAAAAAGTTAACCTAAAAGTATTATTTTGATCATGATTTTAAAGTATTATTTTGATCAAGAGTTTACTATTTAAAGTAAATACGCTCAAAAGTACGCTGAACTGTAGTAAATATCTAGCAGAATTTCTGCTGATTTTCCTGCAAATATTTTGTTGATGGGTTTTTTAAACAACTGCAAATCACGAGAAGAGAGGGGAATATTTTTACTCCATTCAATATGTGCGTGCGTAATACAAAGGTAGCGCATATACCTTAGGTAAAAAAAAACAGTTATAACCAATCCGCCATAAGGTCCTTCAAAATATTACCTGAACTTTATTTCTAACTTTCATCGTTTAGAAAAGCGACCGCATAAACAAACAAATAAACAAATATGGCGGCCGATTTGAAGTCGAAACTGCAACCCTACATTGACCAGTTAGACTCTGAACTGCACAAAAAGAACAAAGTGACGGATGTATTAGCACAGGCAGAGCAGGCAACAGGCATCAAGCGGATCAACTTCGTGCTCGGAGGAATCGCTCTAGTGGCTCTTGTGTTCATTTTCACCTTCGGAAGTGAACTTCTCATCAATATTGTCGCATTCGCTTACCCCGCGTGGAGGTATGAAGTTTCACGACTTGTTCACAATGTTTTTGACACGTTTTTTTTTAACTTTGAACTTTTTCAACCGACGAAACTGAAGGTGCAGGAATAGAAATTCAGGTGATTTTAACACGCAAAAGCACACCAATTAGAAGTGTTAAGAGAACAGCTACCCTTAAAGTTGCTTTTGGCTCTGACTGGAGCTGCATTGCATTTTTTCAGAAAGTTAAGCAAATTCAAAAAAGAAACGGTTGGAAAGTATTTGTTCTAAGATAGCTGATGTATGTTGCCGAAAAGTATAATTCCATCATGCATAAAAGTACAGACCCACTTCAGGGGCGGATTTAGGGGAAGGCGAACAACCATGCCCCCCTCAGGTAGTCAACCCCCTCACCAACCAAAGGATCTCCCTTTGATATTATTTTATGACATCCACTTTAGGCCGAACAACCCTTAAATTTTCTAAAGGCGCTTTGGGCAACACTATATACTAATTGTGAAGGAGAGCGCGTGCCGAAAAAATGCAATTTTCCAAAAATTTCCAAAAAGTGCCCAAAAAGTCTTTTTTGACCTGTTTTTTCAAAAATTTCCATGCGGCGCTAAACTATTGGTCAAAATACGGCCTTAAGGTACAGAAATATGAAGGTATTAAGGTTCAGGGAGTACTCGGAAAGTCAATTTGGTCTTTAAAAAATTTTTGAAAATCCAACCCCTCCCCCCACCTCTAGAAAATCTTAGATCCGTCCCTGAACCACTTGCAAGTTAATGAGCTTATTTCTTGACTTTCTGGCTCAGCCCCTCCTGTTCTCGTCTATTTCTTGTCTTTTCTCTTTTTAGCCTTCAAAACGAAAACGCAAATGCTTAAGATCTGTTTTTTAAAGAACATGGGTTTTTGAAATTACTTGGGTTTTTGAAAAAAAAAAAATGTTTGGAGTGCGTTTTTGTATTTATAATTGTTGAGTTAAGGAAAAATTGACTGAAATTTTTAATCAAATTTATTCAAAACCATAAAATTTGGGTGAGCTCTGGTTGAATGCTGACGTGTTAACTAAAGATTTCTTATAAAAAAATTTTAGTTAAAAATAGAAAATAGGTAATAACAAATCTAATTAGAATTTTTAACAAAGCGACGAAAAGCTTACATTTCGGGCGGTGTTTTTGTTCAGAGATATTGTGTCGATCCACATAATAGTTTTTCAAGAAAAATTTCTTATCCCAAAGAGTACATATCGGCTCTTTGTGTTCGAATGAAATATGGTATTTTGCCCGCGATAAGTTTTATGGTAACTTGCGCCGGTTTAAAAATAACAATTTAGCCATGTTCTGGACTAAATTATACGCAATTGAAGCCTGTATTTAGGATGCTGAGAGCGTAACGCGAATTATTTACGTGTAACAGGTTCTCCCGCACTCACATTTTTAAAAATTGACATGAGACGAACTAATTGCTCATATGAATTCCGCAATCTAAACGACTTACCTGCATCTTTTTTAGTATTGGTAGTCTGAAATTTAAAGGTAAGCATAATGAGCAAAATTACTACACACCACTTAAAGGACAGTTGGAATTTTCAGGTCTTTGCTGTGATTTATGAGCAGCCTAGTTAATGTTATAAGCATGTTTTAGGAATTTTCAACGGGATGTGCGAAAACTAAACCAAGTGGAAAATAATTTAGACTAATACCAATCTTTCACTCGGGAAGAACAAATTCTATCATGGCATTCAAATAGTTTTCAAAAACTCAAAAAAATACATTATAAATTTCATTTTCAGGCTGTATTTTTTTGGAAATCATAACGATTTTTTTTTAATTTTCACAATCTTGAATATTTTTTCGAAACCATTTTTATACAGCAAATCACTTTTGAGGGCTGACAAATGTAGTAATTTATGTATTTCAATAATTCAGTAATAAGCCGAAACAACCTCTAAACAAAAAAGTACCCGAAATGTGTAAAGTTTTGTCTGACATTATTTAAGATCTAGTGCTGAAATTTTGACATATGCTAGTGAAACTAATCGGAAGGGGCTAGAATTGAATAGAAGAAATTTTGATTTGAAGGCTAAAATAGGCAGTATGTTATGACTACATTCAGAGGTATTCTTGCTCTGAAAACATGCAGGCAAACAACAAGGAATTTCAATTGATGAGCTCAAACTGGTTCTTTGGGAAGCGGATCAGCTTGATGTACTTTCTAATCCACAGAGAGAAAAAAGGAAAGAGTTACGTGGTTCAGCGTTTTAAGCGGTCGTATCCGTTTCGACGATGCAGATATTGGCCCCTTAAACTAGAAGTTTAGACAAAACTTGTTAACAACATTGCTGCTGATGAAAATCCTGTTAATGGATCGGAGCAGTCATTTTTCCTCCTTGCTTGCTGAAACTGTTCTTTTGTTAGTTTCTTTCGATCATCAGCGCTAAATTACTTTTATTTGCAGTCTTGTGACGACGGACCCAAAAAAACTTTCATTTTTTGTTTTTTTTTTAGTTTTTCCGCAAGAGAATAATTAGATCATACTCATCGGCTTCCCATCGAACCAATTTGAGCCCAAAAAATCAAATACTTTTTGTTGTTTGCAAGGATGCTTCCACGACAAGAACATCTCTGAAAGTATTTATTATACATTGCTATTGTACACATTTAAAACAGAAATTCTCAAAATTTGATTATCTGGCTCCTTTCACTAAACCTTATCTACCAGATGTCAAATTTTCAACATTATATCTATAATAAGTGCAGACAAAACAACAAATGCGTGCAAAAAAATTGTTCATTGGCCACTTGAAATCGAAAAGTTTTTTTTCCTATGACTGTTCAAACGGTTTGGTATCTGCTAAAAAGCACATCTTTGTATACTGTGTCTAATACTGTGTCAAAAGTGTGTCATTTTCGTGAGTCTTTTATGCAAGGATTGATGGATGGCGACTGGCTGTCGGTGTTTTGTTAACGAGTCGGTTAAATTTAAAGCCTAAATATTTTTCAGTTAGAAAATACTGTTTTCGTGTTAAGCATCTTCAAAAACTGACAAAAACGACTACCATTATTGATTTTTTTGAAGTAAAGTTTCCGCTGTTCAATTTCAATTTGCTGTGTGCTATATTGACTGAGCTGCTCACTAGAAAAACAATTAAGTGGACAAAACAATAAACACAACTAAGAGAAAGTATAATATTCCAAGAAAAAACCAAATTAACAATATTTATAACAAATGGTATATTAAAGGTTGAAGCCTGGATTTTAATAAACGACAGACAGGCTAACTGTCTTTTTCTAATGCAGAATGCTGTTTTTTTTTCATTGCAGTGTCCTAATTTTGTCGGAACTGCCAAAAACTACTGGAATCATAGATGGAATTATTTCTAGCAGATTCGTGAGTTGTTTTTAATTATTGTCAAATCGCAAATATCGATTGTAAAATAGTTGTGTTGTAGGTCAGTGCGTGCGATTGAGAGCAAAGAGCAGGACGATGACACTCAGTGGCTGATGTACTGGGTGGTGTACAGCTACATGCACTTCATAGAGTTCTTCATAGACATCATCCTCTGGTGGTTCCCCTTCTACTTCACCTTCAAACTCCTCCTCTGCGCCTGGTGCATGGCCCCCATCAAGCAGAACGGATCAGTCGTCATCTACTACAATGTCGTACGTATCTCTATAGTACGGGGATTAAGTTAACATCCTACCAACCCCACCCCAAACCCCTTGGTTTGGCTGAAGACTCGAACTCAGAACCCGGCTTTAGGGGGGGGGGGGGGGGGAGGATATTCACTTGAAACGAGTAACTTAACGCTGCAGTAAATTCATACTTGTCAGCAATATTATTACAATAATTGAGATATAAAAAAACAAACGCACGCAAAAATTTTTAACAAGATTGTTCGTGTATCAGGGGCGATGCCCTGAAGGTTCCGACTATAATTTATGGCCAATTTTAAAAAAAAAATGGCTGAATAATTAACGAAATAATCGAGAAAAAGGAAAATTTGCAACTTTTTCTTCATTTTATGCCCGCATTCGCAGTCCAAGGTACAGAGGGTGTACTAAGCGTCCCTGCTTCAAAAAAATTGAATTTCTTTGCTCCAATTCAATTTGGAACGTATTTGTTCGCTGTTTACGCGCGTTATATGAACGCATTTTATAGCGCTCAATTATACGATATTGACCGAATTATCAATTTTTAAACCCCCAAAAGTTTACCAAAAAAATCAAAGGTGAATTATCTTTTTGAATTTGAACTCAGCACAACAATTTTTTTCAGGAAACAACAATTCTCAGATAATCCGCACTTTTTTCGAAAGTCGGAACAATTATTCTTATGTCAGTTTGTTTTTCATATCTCAAAACAAATAGTAAAACTTTGGCTATATACTTGCAGTTTTAATAACCGATTAAAATATGTTTCGTTTTACAGAAGTTTTATAATTTATATCTTCATTATATAACGATTTCTAAAACATTCTAAAACTGTTTTTGTTACTGTATCAATTTTCTTGTATACTACAGTAGGGGCGGATCTAGGATTTTCTCGAGGGGGGGGGGCGGATTTTCAAAAAACTTTCGAAACTTTGGACGACTTTTTTTTTAGGTCGATCAGGTTGATTTTCCGAGCTCTCCCAAAGCAGTAAAAAGACCCTGTTTTGGCCAAATTTTCTGCGCCGCAGGCAATTTTTTTGACAAAACAGGTCAAAAAAAGCCGGGAACTTTTTGGGCTGTTTTTGGACTTACTACAGACAGATGGTATACAGATTGAGATTATCTGTAAGTAAAGAGATTATCTACAAATTATACGCTGATTATATACTTATAATATACAGACTATATACAGATTATAGACATTTTGTACACAAAATAAACACTATTTCTATACGGAGTAATTACTAATGTCTTAACAGACTTGCGGATTAGATGTTTTAATGAAACAAAAGCATAATGTTGGCTTTTCAGTTAAATTTTTTAGCTGATGTATGATCAAAAAAAACTTAAAATCAGTAACGCGAAAACTATTTACAGCAAACACTAATGGTATCAAAATTTCTGAATTTTTGTTGAGTTTTCTTCAGTAAAATTGCACTGAAAAAGTTGCTCTTATAAATAGCCACTGGAGAAGTTTTGCCCAAAGTTGTTTTTTTTCTACAGCGTGAATCTTTAGGTTCCAAATTATTAGAGGAACCTCTTGAAAGTTTTCGCTTGCTACAATCATTTCTCATCAATTGAGTTCAAATCCGAGAAATGTTTTTTCCTGATTACAAACTTGTGAAAAAAAAACTAATTTGCGTTTTTGGTCAAAATTAAAGTTGTTACGACCCTTATAGTGTTCAGACAATATACTCAATTTACACAGATTTTATGCATAACATTTACAAATTATATCTACAGATTATGTTCTTTTTTCTTTGAAGGTTATATACAGATTAGAAGCAGATTATCTACAGATTATAAACATGTTTTAAAGAAAAAAACGGATAATTTTGGCTCTAATTTTTTTGTTTTTGGTAGAAAAAATTTTATCTGCATAGAATCGAGTCTTGTTTGCAAAATGGTTGCAGATAACTCGATTTAATGCTTACGTTAATCTGTACATTTTTTTGTATACAATCATTTTTTCCAATTTTGTAGAAGCGGACATGTTGTCAGTCATGTTTTGATATCAGAAAATGTTTTGCACTAGTTTCCGATTAGTATTAAACGTATTATCGAATCAGTTATTCAGGTGGACTTGCGTTACAATACGGTTCTTTTCGCGTTAAAAACAACCCAAAACACAAAAACGAATAGAAATTTGCTATTGGTTTGCTGTCTTTTTTCCATTTTGCTGAACAAATTGCCCTGAGAGTTATTTGTGATAATTACGTATGGTATTTTTGATCGTGAAGACGGTTCAAAGTTAAATCTTCTAGGCTTATATATGGCGTTGATCACAATTGCGATCTGTGTTGAGGCAGTTTTTTAAACTATGTTAAAACAACTGACACACTATGTACTATGTTGTTAAAACTAAGGGTTTTTTTACGTTAAACGGCCTAAAATTACCTTTTTTTAGCTTCATTCTTTTTTTGATAAAAAGCTAATTTTTTTTCGCTATAATTAATTTCAACCAATCAGGTTCGAGGATTATGGTCAGTTTTTCCAAGTTTTGTTACGATCCATTTTGTGCTGTATAATAGAAAAGACCCAAAACTACTAATTGGTATCTGTTGGAAAATGCAGCAACAAATTTTTGAAAGATGCCTTTTAAATGTTACCTATTTAGGTGAGACCTTTCGTGAAAAAGTATGGAGCCGTGTTGGACGAGCAGGAAAAAGCTGCAAAAGAGGCTGCGATGAGTCTCGGAAGCGACTTGTACAAGACAGCCGACAGCACTGTACGACAGAGAATTGCCAAGGCAGTCGACGACCAGACCCGAGACGCCATGGATTCGTTCACGTCGGGGGGAGGGGAGGAGGAGGACAAGCATGATGAGTGAACACGATGATTTGTTCACTTGACTAATAATTTCTTATTTATATTGAAGTCATTGACCATGTTAAGTTGTTATTTATAAGTAAATTAAGGCTGCCTAAGTGAATGTATCATTTGTTATCATAAAAATAAGTAAAATTTTATTAACCTTTTATTTAAGCCGATTCAATATTCGTGACCATTTCTGCGATTTTGGGGTTACGTAAGTATCAAGCAAAAGCTTTGTTCGGCGCTATAGGGACTCTTAAAAAAATTTTAAAACATTTTCAGTGTCGACAAACGGTTTTGACTTTCAGACTAAATTAGGCAAAATCAAAAATAGCTGGCTTCAATTTTCGTATAATTTTGTTCTTTTCGCGAATGTAGCAAATGGCCCCATAATAACTTTTCTGAGAAATCGATAAATGAGATGAATATGCAGTTTTGAATGGAGTTTTTAATATCGTCTGAAATATTGAGATGAATATGCTGTTTTCAATGGAATTTTTGATATCGTCTGAAAAATTTCTGTCTGAAAGTTTAAAGATCAAAAATAGTTCAAAAATTGTCATGTTAGCCAGTTTGGGACGACTGAAATGAGAAAAATTTTGGACTGTTAAAACACAAAATGCATTTCAAACAAAAACTAATAAGAAGTATTCAAATACCACTGGTATACTAAAGATACCTCAGCTAGGTTAAAAGAAAAAAGTAATAGGTTGAATTAAAACTGATGTACGTCTAAAAGAGAACATAAAGTGACGCGAAGTCCAATGGTGCACGGATATAAATATGGAATACATTTTACAAGCTACGTACAAATCATTACAGATGTGTTCAACAACTATAGAGAGAGAAAAACAATTATATGTACAATCGGGATATGTGAAATAGAAACAAATAAGGGAAAGTTGCACTAACTAAGTTAACAACTAAAAAAATGTGAATTGTGTTAAAACAATGGTAATAATAAAAAAAACTTAAAATAATTTACATATGCGTTTGAAAGTTTTCTTCAGCTGCGCTGAAGGTTTGATGAAAATGTGCCGCCTCTACTCTGGTTACAGTATCAGTGATTGAGGAAATGTCCCTCTCTTAGTCTTTGTCCTCCAACGGGAGTGCGTGAGTAGGTGATTCTAACACCATAAGTCGCGAATTCAACGATGATACGGTTGAGTGAGAACCTTGTGTTCTCTCGGCCACTAATTTTGGTCTACACTGAAAGTCAGCCAATAGTGTTAAAAATGAATGCGGAGGAGGATTGAAGGTTGTTTTTGGCTCGGCTTCTGTTGATGGATGGACATGAAATTAAAGGTTCCTCGTCTGAATCTTCAACGTCTATCACCGCTGCCAATGGAAGCACTTACCCGTTGAAATGCCTCTCCATAGAGGAGGCCCGGGGTTCCTTCTTGGTCGTTCTAACTCATTAGTTGAAAGTCTTATTTCGTTGATGTTTCAGAATTGAGAAGCGAACTCAATAGTTTTCCAAAGTTTTCCGAAAGTTCTAACCCATTATTTGAACTATTCTTTTCGTGGGTGCTTGAGAATCGAGAAGCGAACGCGGTAACAATTCAATTTTCCGCATCTCAGTGTAGCTCCTAAACCGTTATGCGAGTCGTCTGTTTTCAGTCTTGAATTTCTTTTAATGTTAAAGTGGTTATTCTCGTTTATATTCACGATTTGATTGTTTAAGTTTTCAATAGCTGTCATGTGTGAATCATTCCAAACACACTTCACCTGTTTTTTTAATTGAGAGTTGGAGAGCGATGTTGTTGGTTTCGGCACTTGACAGTTATTTTCAAATGTCTGGTCATTTGAAAACTTAGAGTATATTGCTAATTTTTTTAAACAATCTTTCTTTCTCGTAATCACAATAAAAAACAATCCTTGTCACATTTATCTAATTTCACGATATGCACTTCTTTCTCCACTCTTTTCAATTCTTAAATTACGCTATCAAGTAAATGCAGAGCAACTCTTCACCCCTTGGTTTGTATTGGAGTAAAGGGTGCATGATAATGTGTGATCTTTCTGTCCGATAATTTTTTTCCTACTCTGTCATAAAGTCTTTTGAAATGCCTGTACATTTTTCATTTGTATTTGAATGACCATTAGACTTCCAGGAATCCGGATGAGATGTGTTGTTAAATGGAATTAGCGGTTGCTTCTGCGCGATTTCTATTCTGATTTGGGTGAAAATTGTCGTTTTCCAGAATGTTTCTCTTGTTTCCGGTATTAATAAAAAATGAGGTTTCCTCTGAAATTCATCCATTGGACTGTATTCTGACCATAGTTTTCCCAATTATTTTCATTGCATTGTTAGTGAAGCCGCAAAATGATGCCCGCATTTTCTTTCCCAGGAAAAAATTGTACACTGTGGGTCTCTCATATTTAGCTCAAGGAGCACGTTCTGTTTCAGAAAACTTACTGATTTGGCCAAATCCAAAGATTATTTCATATTTACAATTGCGTCATCACCTAATCAGATATTTACAAGTTTTTTCGTTTCTAAGCTGTTGTCATTGTAGATCTCTCTGATGTTCAGTACCGAGTAATCATCATTGTCGCTTAATCCCTCTTCTGAAAAATTGTTTGTTACTCCACAAAAATTCTTCTCGGATCGAACGTGAATCCAACTGAGAATATGGACATTTTTGTTCATATACATTGTCGTCTACGCCAGTTACAACTGGCTTTCTTCCTTTTAATTTACAAAGTTTTCCAAAAGGTCCTACATAATACAAATTTTACATATTATTCCCTTTGCTCGGCAAACGTTCAAGTGATCTTTGCTGAAATCGTTTCCACATTTCATACGAGGGTTTGATTTTTCTATATTCAGACTTGTTGCCTTTTTCTACAGAATTCAAATTCTTGTACATCTTGCCACCGCTGTTGCTGTTAGCCCTCGTCATGTTCGTTAAAATAAGATTGTCATAATAATAGCCCTTCTCATCGATAACTGCCTGATTGAGTGCATATACGGGATTTAGAATTTCCGACAAGACGTTAGAGGTCACACTTTCTCCTATTGAAGTCTCCTATTCACTTTCGTTCCGCGTTAGTTCCTATTTTGCACGTTGTAGCCAAATCCGAGGTGCTCCCCGAAATTTTTCGTAGGAATCTCTGTCCTTCTGTTTTCGGCTGAATATTTTGTACCGTTCAAACCTAATGTTCGCTGGTTTGACAAATGCTGCATCCAGAAGATCGAAAAACTTTTTGAAGGGTATTGATAAAAATTTCACCCTTGTTTGTTTTTGTGAGAACACTTAGTTGTTTTTGTGAGAACACTCGGATCCTCCAGCCAACTAAAGTTTGGACCTGACTTTTTTGTCCTCTTTGTTTCTCCTCACCCCTCCAATTTGGTCGTTTTGTCCTTCGCCTTCTCATAGACTCGCAATTCTTCTGTGTTTATGACCTAGCTGGCTTTCCTCTGAGTTTTCATTTTTTTGAATCTGGGTTGCCTTCTAATTTATGAATTTCTGTTTCCGGCCCAACGGTTCTTTCAGGTTGTCCAAATTATCTTTGGCGATGATGTACAAATAGAACTGTTCAATCGAATTTGTCCATTGGGTGGATGGTTCTACAGTATGGTTGGGTCAAAAAACGGAAAATTCCTGCAAATTTGAATCAATTGACTGCGCCATAATAATAAGTATTCAAATACCACTGGTATACTAAAAATAACTAAGTTAGTTTAAAAGAATAAAAATTAAGAAATTGAACTAAAATCGACGTTTGTTTTAAGAGAACATCAAATGACGCGAAATCCACTGCAATATTTGAGCTCGGGTTGGTTTTTTCTGCAGTCAAACTTCGACTTTTCAGCTAGCCAGGACAATTTATTTTGCGCTTTTAACGCGTAAGTGGTGATATAATCCACCTTAGAAATTGTTCGAAATTTTCACAAAATATCTCAAATAAAAAAACTCGTTTTTAAACTCGTTGGAAAGAAAACACGACCCATGGTCTACTCTAATTGATTTTGGAAACCCAAGTAAGTTGCAGTATTCCGTTAGAAATGTAAGTATTGAAGACGCTGAAGTACTATTTACATCTTCGCACGAAAGGAAGTGGAATTTCGGTAAATCATTCTATGCATAAAAGTAAATATTTTAATGTGCTCCAATTTTTATCCTCTGGACCTGCAAAATCAAGGTTTATTTTTTTCGTTAGGGTCTGATATATCTGGTGATATTTGAGCATTAGCTGAGCCCAAAATCACTTTGAGATTCTTTTTGGCTGTTATACACTGTGCTCAATTTATTCCATGGTGCTAAGTTTCTCTGTATAAGTGTGGCCACCAAATTTTCCCTGCCAGTAGTTTTATACCAAACGGTTCTGGGTGGCTTTAAGGCGATAGCGTCTTGAACGGGGATCTGAGGGCTGCTGGGACAATCAAATTGTTGTCGTTGAAGAGTGGTCTTTGTTTCAAATGAATGTCCCCTCGAAAGGTCTTCAAGTAGGCACGGAAATTGTCCATTGGTTTTCCTTTTCGAACCCCTTTTGAATTTTTTTTTCAGATTTTTCTCTTTGTCTGTCATCAACAGTAGTAGTTTATTTGATTATTGGTCCGTAAGTACAAATGGGAACCATGGCAGTTTTAAATTGACCTTATGCTTCGTACGTAAGTTCTGATGGATATGGGACATAATATCGTTTTCGATTTTTAATGAGATTTCTTGTTTTTCGAAAAGTTTTTATATAGTTTTTTAAAAGTACTGAGGTTTTAAAAGCTAAAAACTCGGATTTGTATTTTTGTTTTAAGATTGATACACAAAAAAGTAATGATGGTAATAAAAAGAAATAATATTTGTCGGTAAGAAAATTTGATTGAATTCCAACTTGGAAAGATTTATAGGAATGCAATTGCTCGTACAATACTGTTAACGCGAGTGATTTGAATTTCAAATTGGAAATGTGTCTGTGACGTCATTGGAAACATTCGCTAAAAATGATCGTTGGATGTGTTGAAATTTTTAATTATTTTCGATCATTGGATATATACAATCCAAGTTCGTAATACTATTTACACTCTGTACAACCACTGGATTACTAATCATTCTTCGTACAAATCTTCTGTTTACAGCCACTTTTTACAAATCGATATTCTAAAATCTTTTCAATCGTCGCCACTTCAATTTCATTGTCATAATGTAAAGTTGGGAAGGCT